ACACACACACACACACACACACACACACACACACACACACACACACAGACTTGAGAATACACATTTGAAGTAGTACACATATACAAATACACGTATTCAAAAGCTATATATCATTATATGGAATCTTGAGACATTCCACTTCATTTCCATATATACACATGTATGTTGTAAATGGACTTTTGGGAGAACATTAGTATTCTCATTTAACATAAGCTTGTGCACATACGTAAAGATACAAACAAACAAACTTGCCTTTAAAACTCTGCCAAGTCAAATCAGACTTTCATCAGACCTAGGAATTGAGTCCTATCAAATTTGAAGTTTCCTCCATCAACTTCTGAAGTGCTGGTGTTTGAAAAAAGTTTCAAACTTTAGCCAAAATAATACATGTTTTCACATGAAAACAACTCGCCCGTTTTTTAGGAAACTTTCAGAAAAATTCTCTTCCAGGCTGAGATCAATCATACAAAATTTCAGTCAAAGTAAAATTTCTCAAAAATTGTAAGGAGCTGAAAACGACTCTATAATAGAAAAACTTGGGTAACTCTTAACTATAGGCCACTGTGTGTGTGTGTGTGTGTGTGTGTGTGTAATGTCTTCCTGTAGCTGCTTGATTACCCTGTGCCCTCTGTTGTGTAAGAGGTTAAACTTTTAATAAAGAGCATTCTTATGATACCAATCAGCCGTCATCCAAGCTATGGATGATTTAAACGCATTTGCTTGTTCTTTGGGGGACTCTTTTTATTTTGTGCTTTTCTCCTTGAGTTACCAAGAATTCAGGTTCTCACTTGCTGAAAACTTGCAAGTGGATCAAAGGTCTGATCTTTGGATCTGAGTGGGAACCAGGAATGCCAGAGAGCTAATCCGGGCTCTGCCATGGACACCCTCTGCACCCTTGAGCGAATCACTGAACTCCTTTGCCTTAGTTTTTCTGTTGGTAAAATTGAGCTAATACTGATCAACATCACGGGGGTGTTTTGAAGCTGAATTAGTTCATAGTTCAGATATAAAGCATATCATCAACTGCTTATTAGTCTGTGAAAACTCTAACTTGCTACAAACCAGTCATGTAGGTCTTGTTTAAATAGCATTTTATGTTGTTGAGCGCACTTTAAACCACCGGTAGCTTGTCTTCAAAATACATTGTTTTAATACCAGAAGCAATTGGAGTATGTAATGAAGTAATCCTGTGCTGGATTCAGGTTTGTGGGGGAGCAGAAAGGGGGTTGAGTTAGCACTAAAGCATCTCAAGACAGGAGTCTGGTGACTCAAGAACTGAAAATGATACTGACCTCTACACACTGTTGGTACTGCAGCCTGAATCAGTTCTGATTGAAAGTCAGCACCATCTGACAGGCTGTTTGGGGTAGGACAGAATCTGTGTGGTCCTGATAAACAAATGTGCACATCACAAAACCCACCACCATGTTTAGCAGTCTAAGAAGGGAGGCCAGGGAGTGAATGAGCTGGAAAATGGGGCCTCCAGGACAAGTCTGAAGTACATTAGCTAGGCAGTAGGGTGAAGGAAGCATGCCTGTCTGCCTGTGCTGCCCCTATTTTGTTATAGGGCTTCAGTCACTTTTTACTGGTTCCCTTTTTTAAAAACACGGCTTCTTAAACTTGACGGTAAAAGGTAAAAAATCAGAGTGCAAATCTTATGTTTTTAAATCACCTCAGGTGAGAAGAAACTTGCTCCAATCCAGAGCATATTTTACTGCATCCAGGTTACCCCTTTCAAATAGGTTTCGGAGTGGTAGCTGTGTTAGTCTGTATCAGCAAAAAGAACGAGGAGTACTTGTGGCACCTTACAGACTAACAAATGTATTTGAGCATAAGCTTTCGTGAGCTAAAACCCACTTCATCGGATGCATGCAGTGGAAAATACAGTAGGAAGATATGTATACGCAGAGAACCTGAAAAAATGGGTGTTGCCATACCAACTATAAGGAGACTAATCAATTAGTTTTGTTCTCCAACAAAAAAAAACCCTTCAAAAACAGACTCCAACGAGAAACTGCAGAATTGGAATTAATTTGCAAACTGGACACCATTAAATTAGGCTTGAATAAAGACTGGAAGTGGATGGGTCGTTACACAAAGCAAAAACTATTTCCCCATGCTAATTTTCCCCTTACTGTTACTCACACCTTCTTGTCAACTGTTGGAAATGGGCCATCCTGATCATCACTACAAAAGTTTTTTTTTCTCCTGCTGATAATAGCCCACCTTAATTGATTAGTCTCCTTATAGTTGGTATGGCAACACCCATTTTTTTCAGGTTCTCTGCATGTATATATATCTTCCTTCTGTATTTTCCACTGCATGCATCCGATGAAGTGGGTTTTAGCCCACGAAAGCTTATGCACAAATAAATGTGTTAGTCTCTAAGGTGCCACAAGTACTCCTGTTCTTTTCCTTTCAAATAATAATTTGCATCAAAATTACTGCTGCCGTGTTTTTACTTGGCTTGTTCAGAAACCTGGCCCTGCTCCTGCAAAAATCCTTTTTGGATAAAATTCGCACTAACATCAGTGGGTCCTTGCTGATTGGTTGTGTTTATTTTGTGTGGGCTGTTGAGCACAATTACAGGAACCTGCAGTAATCATTAGGACTAAGACGGTGCAAAAGGGAACTGTTCCCCCCGCTTGCCTCAGGCAAGCCAACCAATGCTGCTTTCTGCATGTAAAAGAAAAGATGAAATGAGCAGTGGGGGGAATAAACAGAACCAGCATGAAACCCTAAATCTGTGGATTCAAAGGCAATGTTTTTGTCCTTTCCTCCCAGGATTATATGCGTCAGGCAGGCGAAGTGACATATGCAGACGCACACAAAGGGAGAAAAAATGAAGGTGTGATTGAGTTCAAATCCTATTCGGATATGAAAAGAGCCCTTGAAAAGCTGGATGGGACAGAAGTGAATGGCAGAAAGATTAGGTTAGTGGAAGACAGGCCTGGATCCAGACGGCGCCGCTCCTATTCCAGAAGCCGAAGCCATTCGAGGTATGTTTTCCATAATACAGCTGTGGCTCTTACAGTCTAATCGAATAGCCAATGCCAACCCCTGGATGCTTAGAGGTACGCTGGGTCCCCAGGAAACAGAGTTTTTGGTGACAGCCCAAATGAGTTGGAAGTAAATGACTGAGGAAAATTTTTTCACTGCTCATTGGACGGTGTGCTCCGTGATGGACACTTTTTAATACCTGATACAGTAACTCCCCTCTTAACGTCCTCTCGCTTAACGTTGTTTCGAGCTTACGTCCCTGCTCAGTTACAGAACATGCTCCTTTTAAAGTTGTGCAGTGCTTCGCTATAACGTTTGGCTGCCTGCTTTGTCCACAGCTGGCAGCCCCCCTGTCAGCTCCTCCCGCCCACCGCCAGACCCCACGGGTCAGCGCCTTCCCCCTCCTGCCCGCGGCAATCAGCTGGCTTGTGGCGTTCAGGAGGGAGGGGGGGAGGAGCGAGGACTCGGCGCTCAGACTCCCCCTGCCTCCTGAACACCGCAAACCAGCTGATTGCTGTGGGCAGAAGGAGGGGGGAGGAGCGAGGACCCTGATGCATGTAAAGGGGGAGGGGGGGAAGAGGAGGGGGGGTTATGGGGGGGGGCTTGGGGGAAGGGGTGGCGTGGGCGGGCCGAGGGTTGAGCCCCCCGCCCCTGGTGCTTGCAGAGTAGGGGAAGCTGCTGCTGCGCAACGTACTTCTCCTAGCCTACAGCACCTTCAGCCTCCTTGCCTGCCTCATTGTCTCCAGTGCCAGTGGGCTGTGCCTGTGTGGGGTAAGGCGGGGGCACCTCCCAACTATAGTACTGTACTGTCTGGCTAAAAAACATTTCCCTGGAACCTAACCCCCATATTTACATTCATTCTTATGGGGGACATTGGATTCGCTTAACATCATTTCACTTAGTCGCATTTTTCAGGAACATAACTACAACGTTAAGTGAGGAGTTACTGTATTTTTTTTACCATAATACCAAGGAGTGCCAATCACTGACTGTAACTCCACTGCGCTAGATACTGCGCAAACAACACTGCAGTGCTGTAGGGTTCTTGCCAAACTCTATGCCCTTTATCACAGTGGGAAAGCACGTGATAAGTGGCAGAAGTAAACATGCAGAAGTGTCCGTAAAACTCCTTCTCCTCTTTGAAAGTTCATAAATTTCCCACTGTACCATTTATTTTTGGGAGACCCCTCCTGCTCTTCTGTAGAGGTTGGCTATTTATATGATGTGTGCAATATGGCACAAGAAAAGGGCTTCAACAGAAAGGAAAATGTTCATGTTCAACTCTCTGTAGGTTAGTAGTGTTGGATTTTGTAAGACAACCCAATCAGATACTTTAAGATACCCTTAAATTTACAGGCCAGACTTGAAGTTTTTACTCCTGGAAAAATATGTTCTGCTTTTGGGGGGGGAAATCTCTGCTTAGACCCAGGCACCCGAGTTCATTTGGAAAGAGCTAGTCTTCACTTCCCCCACCTACAAACCATTGTGCTTCTGCTTCAGATTGGTAGCCCTGTTCAACTCCAGAAGTGGCAGCATTTCCAGTATATAGGAGCGAGAAATAAGATACTGTGCTGTGGTGATTTATAGGTATTTCTAGAGTCCCCATCTATAGTCTGTAAAATGCTTTGGGATTATTCCATCTGAAAGTGGGAGAAAATGTTACTGATGTGCTGTCACTCTTCTTTAGTCACGTGGGGTTTTATTGAACCAGGATCAGACGTGATTCTCCTTCCATGGGCTTGGAATGACTTAATGCCAACTGCTTTCGTTTTAGGTCTCGCTCTCGAAGCAGACACTCTCGTAAGAGCAGAAGCCGTAGTGGCAGTAGCAAAAGCAGCCATTCCAAGAGTAGATCAAGATCCAGGTATACTTTTGTGGGGGAGAACCTGGGGACGTGTAAGAGGCATCAACCTAATGCTGCAGCATGGGAACTCTCTCTCGCTTCATTTGTTTACCCAAATGTAATAGCAAACGAGAGCCAAACCCATGTTCAAAAGGCTGATATGTCACCATCCACTTGTGCTTTTTCAGGTCTGGGTCCCGTTCCAGAAGCAAGAGCCGTAGTCGAAGCAAGAGCCGTAGCAGAGGCCAAAAGGACAAAAGCCGGAGTCCAAGCAAAGACGATAAAAGTAGGAGCCGCAGCAGGAGTGCGGAGAAAACCCAGAGCAAAAGTAAAGACAAAGCAGAGGATGCCGTCCAGAACAACGACGACGCAAAAGCAAAGAGCAGGAGCCCCAGCAAGGAAAAGAGTAAGAGTAAAAGTAGGAGCAGGAGTGGGAGCAAGGAGAGAGTGGAGGAAGAGAAGGCGAGCGTGAGGAGGAGTAGGAGTAAGGAGAAAAGTAGGAGTAAAGAGAAGGAGAAGAGCAAGGCTAGGAGCAGGAGCAAGAGCAGAGAGGAGAGTAAGAGCAGGAGCAGGAGTCGTAGTAAGAGTAAGGATAAAAGGAAAGGAAGGAAGAGGAGTAGGGATGACAGCAGAAGTAGGAGCAGGAGCCGCAGCAAGAGTGAGAAAAGCAAAAGGCGCAGCAAGCGAGACAGCAGATCTAGCAACAAGAAGAAAAAGAAGGAAGACCAAGAGCGGTCCCGGTCCAGGTCTAGGTCTAGATCCAGGTCCAGATCCAGATCGGAGTCCAAGGAAAAGGAGCATCTAAAACCAGAATCTGACAAAAAGGAGGTAAAAAAGGAGGGTGAGGAAATGGACAAAAGTCATGAATCTCGGTCCAGATCTAGGTCAAATTCTAAATCCAAACCAAATGTCAAATCAGAATCTCGGTCCCGATCAAAGTCAATTTCAAAAACTAGGTCCCGGTCCAAGTCTAGATCTAGGTCTGCCTCTAAATCACCATCCAGATCTAGATCAAGATCTCGTTCGAGGTCCTAAACTTGCTGCAACCACACTTGAAACTATATGAAAAGTCTTTTGTACATGTTTGGTAGTTGTAGCACAAGTGATTGAAGTAGAACACATGTCAATGCTGTACATTTTTAACTACCCTAATGGTGTGTCTGTAATTGTTCAGTACAGGGCTCCCTCTCTGCAATGCTTTCTGGTTCAAGGCTATGCAGCTCATTTGCTGACTTGTAGAAAGATCCCCTTTATAACACAATCCTCACTAGAACACCAAAATCACCTTGTTTTCCAAGAACAGCCTTACAGAGAGGAAGCGCTGTACTTTGATGGGTTTATAAGGTTGGAATGATGACTGATAGGTAGGTATGGTGACTTCAACTATTTTTGCCCTTGAACTGATGCCCTTTGATGTATGCCATTTAGTGAAAGTGCTAAGTCTTAAGTTTCATACTACTTTTGGTTTCATATTTTTGGATTTACAGAGTTGTGAATAGCACAGTCAAGGAAATAGATACCTGCAGTAACCCATAGGGGAATAAAAAGTAGAGTTCCATATTCTGGTATTGTGACAATATCCTTGTTTTATATTAAATTTTTTTATTTTATTTTTCCCCGTCTTGCAAAGTACAGTGATCCCTGTTTCCATGAAATTTGAATAAAGACTATTTTTGCTTGATGACATTTGGTGGTGGTTTAAATGAAATTATGCCGTGATTAGCCACTTGACAATAAAAAAGAAAATTATATATATATATATAGGAACATGCAACAATTTAGGCCCAAAATACAAGTTCTGGGTTCAGAAAACCCCAAGACCATTAGAAGAAATGTCTTCCTGAACACTTATTTTAAAATCCAGTGGAAATAACTTATTCAGATTGGAAACACTTTCTTGCATTGCTTGGAATGACATCATTGTATAGAGAAGAGAATTATAGTGAAACTGACAAACCTGTTTTCATTGGTCAAGTTGAGTGAAATACGAGCATCAGTTTTCATAACCTAAGGAAGAAAATGTGGTGGTTTTTTGTTTTTTTGTTTTTTGTTTTGTTTTTTACTGGAGTGCCTTTAAAGGGACATTGTCAGCATAAATCGCCTCTGTCTGAAAATGTTTTATCTACTATTGGTACAGCTAACCCTTAAGATTAGCCTAGCTGAAAGACTGGGGCAAAACACAGGTTTCTGTTGCTCAGTTTTACTTTGTGCATCTAGCAACACTTTGTACAGTCAGTTCCATTGTTTCCTCTGTATAGTCGGTCTCATTTGTTCAGGTCTTCTGCATAGCAACAGAGAGGAGAAAAACATTTGGTAAAATAGAAACAAAACTAAATCTATTAAAATTGGCAGGAAGTCTCAAAAGCAGTTTCAGATACTGCACCTGCTCCTCGCACTGACTAGAGATAAGGTGATGGGGTTCCAGTAGTTTACTTATATTAAGTCATGGTTAATGTGGAAAATCCACTTTTTTTTTTTTTAAGCGTTCATCAGAATTGTGCTACAAGAAAGCTGTAAAAGGGGAGAGACGGTCTCTTGGAGCACGCAATACCCATGTCCTCATGGCTGCTTTGGTTTAGCATTCTTTCTAGCTTCAGAGCCTCATGGTTCATATTGACCATTCTCAATAGTATGGTGAGATGGGAAGAACGCCTCCAAGAAGCGTAAGAGCTTGTAAAGTTAGTTTCAACTGTAGCATGGCAGGGTCCTTTCATGCTATTTAGAGAGCAGGAATTGCTCTAATGGCTCAAGCCAATAGCAAAGATTCCTGTGCTGTTTATCATCCCTTTTGGGACTTCTGCCTTAGACATGTCGCCAGTAAAAGAGACAAAAGAGGTCATAAAGGGAAACTACTGCATGAATGCCTGAATATACTATACTGCCCACTGGTCAGGGATATCAACATTTGCAGCACCTTATCTAAGGGACACCTGGAACAGATCAGGACTGGGCAAACATTTCTCCAGGGAACAGAGTGCTACCTGCAGAAGTTGTTAACAAAACAGTGCTCCAGCATCTTACAGCAGGTGAATTGGGGGAGAGACTGGCTTGCTCACTTGAGAGAGAGGCCTCTTCATGTAGGCCTAGCAAGGGGTGTGTGTGCTGGGGAAGGAGATGCGAACTTTGGAGAGGGAAGGAAGCTGCAGTGGAATGGGGGTGCAGGCCATGTCTGGAGAGCCAGAAGGTGCCCCCAAGCTCCCTTGCATGTTTCCTCAGTACACCTTGTGGAAGAAAGCATATGACCCTAAGGTGTAAAAAAAAAAAAAAAAAAAAAGAGGTCCACATAGTCTTAAGTGGTCATATTTTTAGGGCCATTGTCACTGGCAAAGACTAAACAAATATTCCCACACGTTAAACAGACAGTGGTTAATTGGTATAAAGTCATATTAGGGTCACTTTTTAACAATGTATGGCTCTTTTCAGAATACAAAATACAACTTTGTCAGAATTTACTAATGGTACAAGGGACAAACAAAACCCTACAGCACTAATTCCTGTTTACTCAGTGCAGTCACTCTGGGTGTACGCCACTCAGCCATGATGGATATGTGTACATGTTCAACTGCCAGATGTGGAAGTGGCCAGTGATGCCAGAACAAAGCAGGAAGGTTGTCACAGGCTGGAGATGCCCCAAACTGCTTTGAACGTTACCCGTTAGAATAGAAAGGTTGCCGTAAGAGCTGTTTGCCTCACATCAAACTCGGTTGTCTTAAGTAAACGTGACTCCTGTGACCAAGGAATTAGCACCGGCCAAAACACCCACTGCTTTTGACTGAAATCCTACAAGGCCATCATCTTTCCAGACTTGCAGAATCCATCTGGTCTATTTCCTCACACACACAGCATCTATCCCTACTCTAGCTTCTTTGACAAAATTAAAAATCATGCAGAAATCAGACATGTCATACTACCCTACCAGTGCCCCTCCCCTAAGCATCTGCCAGCCTGCCCACTCCCTTCATCCTCCCATCATATCCTTCCTTAAAATGCTTAGGACATGCACCAAAGTTCATGAACATGGGACTATATCAAATACAGAAGGGGGAATATCTGAGGGGACTGATACTGAAGAAACTTGGACCCATGCTAAAGCAAATGAAAATGCCTGTTTCGATACACGCTCTCGCCAATTCTCTGGCATATTTTAGGAATACTAAACTAGCCTGGCAGAAGAGATCTGTGGCTGAGCAATATAACGCTTAGTGCTTTCTGGCCAATAGGGATGATTTCCATCTTTAAGTGCTTTGAGATCAAGTACCAGTCTTTATTGTACTGGGGGAGAGCTGAGACCCAGAGAAGTGACCACATTTCCCCAGTGAATTAATAATTGATCCCAAGTTTGATTCCTAGGCCCTTATCCTATTCATGAGGTCATGCTATCCTGAGATTGAACACACCATGTGTACATATAGCTGGTTTTACTCTGACATATTGACTAACACTTGTTTAATGCTATTCTACCTCATGCGTAAGTTAGAGCACTGAGCCAAAATTTTGATGGAAAAACATGGTGGCAACCTGTCATGAGGAGCAAGACCATGTTGTCATTTGGGCCTTGAGTGATTTCAGTTTTTAAATTACCCCATAAAAACAAAGTTGAAAGAGCGAGACAGAGGTCCTGACTACTTGCCTCTACAGATTGCATGGATCACAACTCAGAGGAACTCCGGGTGTCAACCCTGCTGTCTCGCCCATATCACAGCTTAGCTAAATTACAAATAGCTATCACAAATTGCGCATGCTGCGTCATTGGGACACAGTATCCTTCACTATTCTCTAGTGTCACTGTAACCAGGGTGCTCAAATATGATGTGCAGGATTTGCTCCCAAATAGACCATGCCCTAAAATTCAATGGTCTTAGGGATGTAGTGGATTCCAGAGTGGGGATCTTCCCGTGAAAACACCCTGCCACCAGCATCTCGTCTCTCCAATTTGGGGGCTACTAGCAAGAACACCCCAGCTAATGTCAAGAGTGATGCTGTTCTAGAAGTATTGTCCCAGTTTTATACACAGGTAAACTGAGGCATGGTGCTAAGTGACTCTCCCAAGATCCTACACTGAATCAGTGGCAGGGGTGGGAGTAAAACCCAGGAGTTGTGATTTCCCCAATACCCTGTTTTAACCACTAGAATCAAAACTGCTGCTTTTACCAGTAAAACACCACCTGCCACATGTTCATTTTTCTTCTAACAGCTAAAGACGGGGGGGGGGTTTAAAAGCCTGTGTGGTCACCAATGCACATAGCATTACTGGGTGAAAACTGCAGCCTTTATAAGTGGAAACTGACTATAGCAGCAAGGAGCTTCCTATACAATTCAGTATTTTAAAATAGCCATCGCGCTGTAAAAGATGAAATGATGATAAATGGACAAAAATAATTTTCAACATATAAGAAAAAATGTGTAGAGTTTAAGAAGTGTCACAGCTAGCTGCCTCACTCTGACTTAATCAAATGTCATATTGTCAAAGCGTCATGAAAAACCTCTGTGGAAGCGATATTTCATTTCCTTAGAAGTCTGAAGGAAAAATCTTTTCAACTATGTGTTCAGTGCTTGAATCTCTCTGGCTTTTATAAAAACATTCAGTCGAATCCCTCCTGCTTCGTAACCTCTCTGCAGAAACAAATCAGACCAAGGCATATGTTTGCTAACGGGGGGGAGGTGGGAGGGGGGACATTTAAGATATTTTAGGCCAAGATTTTCAAAAGTGACTGATTTTGGGTACCCAACTTGAGACCTTAAAGGCACCTACCTTGGCAGGAGGTGGTGTTCCCCACTTTCTGAAAAGAAGGCTTCTTTGAAATGTCTCAAATTGGGCACCAAAAAAATGGAGACACCCAGAAACACTAGCCACTTTTGAAAATCGTGGCTGTAACTTTAATTTTCACTGCATCTGTTACTGAACATTCTGTATGGTATTAAACGCAAAAGCCTGCATTAACGTTGCTTAGGTGAACCCTTCCAAGGCAGTGCTGCTTGTATAGCGTCTGTGACCACTTTGGCATGAAAGTTACCATAACCATGTAATAAGATACTCATGTCAGACTGGACACACTTTGGGGGTCTTCATTGATTCTCTGCTGGTGGTCCACTCCTGCCATTTTCAGAGCAGCTGATCAATGAGTCACAGACAAGTTACTGACTTGGGTAAGAGGGATGGTTAGGGCCTGGCTCTGGGAATTGGAAGACTTGAGCTCAGTACCTGACTGCTCCAGCGGTCCTAGGTGACTGGCTTGTCGCTTTAGAGAGAGATTTCTAAAGGTATTTAGGCATCTAATTCGATTGATTTCAATGGAAGACAGGAGCCCAAATACCTTTGAAGATCTGGGTCCTAGAGCCACTCCTATTGATTTCAGTGGGAGTTCAGTTTTAGGTGCTTTTCAAAATCCTACTAGGCACCTATCAGCCTCTTTAGATTCCTAAATACCTTTAAAAATCTGGCGCTTCAACCCTGCTCCAGCCAGCATGTAAGTCCATGATTAACGTCAACCATTGAAGTTAGTGGATCTACTTGTGTGCTTGAAGTGAAGTGTGTGCTTAAGTGCTTGTTGGATCATGGCCCATATCTTCGTTGCCTCAGTTTCCCCCTAAATGTATGTGTGGGCACAAGGCACTATATAAATGCCGAAAGTTAAGGGGCCTTATCCAAGACCCCATTGAATCAGCCGCTCATTGACTTTGCTG